CATCTGTTAGCAAAACATCTGTTAGCAAAACATCTGTTAGCAAAATATCTGTTAGCAAAACATCTGTTAGCAAAACATCTGTTAGCAAAATATGTTAGCAAAGCATCTGTTAGCAAAGCATCTGTTAGCAAAATATCTGTTAGCAAAACATCTGTTAGCAAAACATCTGTTAGCAAAGCATCTGTTAGCAAAGCATCTGTTAGCAAAACATCTGTTAGCAAAACATCTGTTAGCAAAATATCTGTTAGCAAAACATCTGTTAGCAAAACATCTGTTAGCAAAATATCTGTTAGCAAAATATGTTAGCAAAGCTTCTGTTAGCAAAATATCTGTTAGCAAAACATCTGTTAGCAAAATATCTGTTAGCAAAACATCTGTTAGCAAAATATCTGTTAGCAAAACACCTGGTCTCAGAACCTGCAGACCTGGTCTCGGGTCGAGGACTGAGGATGTGTTCCTCAGAGGAGGTGTGGAGCAGCTGTGAAGACGTCTTTATTTAAAAATGAACTTGACTTTCTTGTTTCAACATTCTAAATGTTTTTATGTTTGTTTGTAAATAAAATGTTTGTTATTTTGTTAATAAAATGTTTGTTTTTTGTTAATAAAATGTTTGTTTATTTGTTAATAAAATGTTTGTTTGTAAATAAAACATATTTGTTTGTGTTTACTCCACACTCTGCCCCAGCGGTTCCAGATGTTCCTGCAGTTAGAACCGAGCGGACGGTCCGGTCAGCGGTGAGGATCCAGCAGCAGCAGCAGCAGGAGGAGGTTCCTCTCTGCCCTCCTCCTGCTCAGAGGGGAGCAGGAACAGAGAGCTGCAGAGGAAGCTGCTGTAATTTGTTGCTCATTTACTCCCATCATGCTCAGGGGGCGTAAAGAATCCAGCTGATAAGACTATAAAAGCCTGGATCCACCCTGCTGACCGCTCTGACTGGAAAACTTGGAGTTTTTGGAGTTTTTGCCAGAAGGAGCAGGTTACTTTCAGTTCTCTGACACTTGCTCCTGCAGGAGAACGTCTTTGTTGGGAGTTTCTGCTGCAGGGAGGATGTTGTTTTCTGTCTTTACTCCTGAGGACCGGAGCCGTTAGGTGTTGGACTTCTCCCCTCTGGAGCCATGGTTCTGGTTCTGGTTCTGGTTCTGCTGCTGAGTCTCTGCAGACAAAGTTCAGGACAACAGCAGGTAAATCCACTTCCTGCTCCACTTTCAAAAGACTTTTATTTTTCTTCTTTCAAACCGTTTGAAGTCATTTCTGCAGAAATTAAAACATTATTAAACTCAGAGGAAGACTTTGCTCATTGCGAGGAGAAAACACCTGTTACTGATGTGTGTCTGTTAGCAAAATATCTCATGACTCATTGAACAGATTCTAATAAAACTCTGGCAATAAGATCTACAGCAACCAGCTTTAGATAACGTGTGTAGTGAGAGTAGGGAGCGATCTGCAGAAGGTCTGTGTGACAGAGGAGAATGCTGGGAGATGTAGGATCAGATGTGCTCATCAGAGGAACAGAGGTTTAATGAGATGATCAGATTTCCCATCATGCACTTCAGCTGCACGTCCTGGAAACTCGGCGCTGCAGCTGAACTCACAGATCAAATCATAAATAAAATCACCAGAAAACTATAATTATTTAAATCATCTTCTGTCCTGAGCTGTACAATGTTGGGAACATGTTGTAGAGTGGAAAAATAAAATATTAAAGGTTGCTAAAATTATATAATTTTTGTTTAAGTGTGAATGTTCCACCTCTTTGCATTCCTAGGCAAAAAAATATATACTAAGTAAACTAAATCAAAGTATAATTTAGTATACTTGAAGCCGCACTAATCATCAGTATACTTAAAGAGTGCTATTTTGTAACAACTAATTTAATACTAAATATACTTCAGTTGTATTTAAGTTGTACAAAAGCATAATTTTAAGAGTATTAAGCAGTGGCGTCACTAGGCCTATTTTAGGGGGGCTGGAGCCCCCTTAAAATATTTTAAAGCCCCCTAAATTATTTTGGTTTAAAAATATATTTTTA